GGGGGGGGGGGACCAGTACCAATTAGGCCCTGGACAGCATCCAGCAGCAGATAAAAAACCAAGTGCCACATTGTGAGGGAGAAAATAAGGGTGAACCCGCTCAAGTACAACCACTTCCCCTCTCCAAAGGTCAAAAGCTGTTGCGCTGCTGCATTCCCCAGGGACGCTTTTATTTAGTAGACTGAGCAGCTAAAAGAATGAGTGAACAGACTAGGGTTCCAGGAGATGCCACCCTGCCAAGAAGGTAGGACCCCATTTCAAAGAAGACAGCGGTCTAGAAGAATCCTCACTGGACAACATCAGAGACAGGTGCGGAAAACAGGACACTAAAAGTAAACATCACGACAACCCGTGTTCCTAGGTGGAGGAGGGGACAGTCCCGGGTCAGGCCCAGGTTGCTGGGTTAAAGCCTGCTTCATTCACTCACGTAGCCCAAAGATATGTGTAACCACTGACTTGACTCGTGCAACACACAGTGCTGGAGGATGACCGAATTAGGGTGACCTATTTCCACTTCCAGGGGGCTACTTCAACCGGTTTGTTGGGGCCTAAGAAAGGCAGGGCGATGGGTGTATTTAAACTGTTAGAACAATAAATCAATAAAGCCTGTTCTAGAAATCTATTGGCAATCCTAAGGTACGGAAAGGCCCCAAACTCTGAAGTTCGATTTTGCCCACTTGAGCTACATCCATGGAGAAGAGCCCCCTTCTCTCCTTACAAGAGAAACTACCCCAGGCTTTGGAAATGTACAGGTGACGCGGCCCAAACAAAAATACGTAACTCATTTACCACTCAGCCATCAAGGAAACAGGACGATAGGGTGTTTAGTAGAATTTGGCAGCTTAATGAGTCATTAAAATTCTCTTTTGACTGTGAGCCAGTGTATGACAATGGTCGGTACAAGCTGGAGCTCACGCTGCGCCCGCCTTCAGGCAAGAGTGAAGAGCCGAGTCTTAGAGAAAGTCGCCATCTAAGGTGACTGTTATTAGAACTACATGTAACCAATTTTCACTGAAGTAGTCCATTGTACAAAACAAGCACACACACACAGTCGTAGTGTTAGAGAAAATGAGTCCCCTTGACTTACACAGCCTGCTCAAATCATTCAGCTTGCCACCCGCTCCCGAAGGCACAGCCCTGGGCGATGGGAAATTGGGACTGACGTTCACTGCTACTCAATGAACTTATCAATGCCCGGGTATTGCCTTTTTCTCCCCCTGTGACAAACTGACAACAAAGGATCTTCTTTCAGTAGGGGCTCTGGGTAAGTAATTTGAGGGGCCTTTTGAGAAAGCACCTGGGTATTAAGGCAATAGGTGAAAAGAAGTTTGAAGAGACTAGAAAAAGGTCAGTTACACCCTGAAAGTCTGGAAGTTCTGATTCTTTTTAAAAATTGCTTTTCCTATTTCCAGAAACTGCCCTATTCTTTTTAGGCATTCGGTTATATTTTCAGTTAATAACTCGAAAATCCTTCCCCTCTTCCATCCAAGATGATTTTCCTTCCCCACCCTGTCCTCCTTCCTGCCACTCGTCCGTATCAAGAGGGTTGAGTTTATGTCACTCCCACGGACTAGAAATGCCTTCACTAATGCTGCTCTCGAGGGAGGCATTGCTGGTAACTGCTTTTAAAAATCCTTTTAAATGTACATATTCTCATGGCACAAACAAGGATGGAACTTCATATTAGCACTGCTATATTTATGGATTTCAATTTACCACCCAGCCCAGAAACTGGCTTAGCTTCTCTACCTTTTTAAAGTAAAGCACATTCATAATTCTTCTCTCCTGACTGCTCTGGGGAAGCTGACTCTGCAGCATCACCCAGGCTGCAGCCTCTCCTGACCAGCTCTTCATCAGCGGCACATAAACAGTGGGAACAGTTTATGATCAGCAAGCCAACTCCCGCCTGGATTCCCATCTTGGGATCAGGCACAGCTGCCTAGGAAACATCCACCGCCTCCCACTGTTTTAAAGGCTTCAGAACAAACTCACACACGTGTGGGAAGGGAGAATTTCCTAATACTTAAATGTATCTATTCAGTGTTCTAAATTGCCAATAAATTGGTAATCTCCAATTTTAAAATGAGATAAGTGTTATTTTTGCTGTTAAGGGAGGAAAACTAGAAAACCTGACGATTTTCAAAACCATAATCCACAGATTTGTTAAACAATATTTAAATATTTGAGAATAATATTAAAGAAAATAAGAATACTGATTACTTTCAAGTCCTCTTGAAAAACTTAAAAAGCACAATTATTTAAAAAGT